ACTTGGTCCAAAAAAATCCTGCCTAATGGCGAGATAGTTGGAGAGGTGACAAAACCTTATACCTTTCATTACAAAACCAATAAACCAGAAAAAGATGGATTATTTTGTGAAAGAATTTTTGGGCCTATCAAAAGTGGAATTTGTGCTTGTGGAAATTATCGAGTAATCGGAGATGAAAAGGAAGACCCGCAATTTTGTGAACAATGCGGAGTCGAGTTTGTTGATTCTCGGATACGAAGATATCAAATGGGCTACATCAAACTCGCATACCCGGTAATGCATGTGTGGTATTTGAAACGTCTTCCTAGTTATATTGTGACTCTTTTAGATAAACCTCTTAACGAATTAGAAGACCTAGTATACTGCGGTGTGTGATTTGATCGAAATTCTGATTTTACAGATTCGAAATGAGAAACTGTCATCCCATTTAATCCAATCGGGATGCCCTGTACCTGACATGTTTCTTGGTAGGAGTAACATGAAGCTCAGAATTAGGGATGTATTCAAGACGCTCCCCAAAAAGGGAATTGATCTATGGTCGATTTCATAAGAATTTATAGTTAGACCTCGTAAAAAAAAAAGACTTTTTCTTTTGTGGAATTAAGCAGTTCCTTTTTTAGAAACAAATTATGTTTAAGTAAGCAAATAGAAAAGATGTCATGGTTACAAGAGTCTATCTATCGCATATAGACTTTAAGGGCATCGTGGCCTAACCGTCGAGGTGAAGTCGGGACCTAAAAGATCAAATGGAACAGTACAATAGACAAGTAAATTCCTTCTGAATTCTAAGGTACTCTCTTTCATTAAGAATTACGGGATTCATCATTCGAGGGGAAGTAGACTACTCAAGAATTTCACATTTCATTTATGTCATAATTGAATAAAGAATTCATAAAATCTAAATAAAAATAATTAAGGAAGACGGAATCCATGAAGTTTTGCTTGGTCTTCACTGGAAACTTGAGTAAGGAGTAGATCTTTTTGGAGTTTTCTAGAATTTGAAAGCAAGAACTCCTTTCTTTTTCTTTTTTTGGTATACCTACTTGAGCCGGATGAAAGGAAACTTTCACGTCCGATTTTGAGGGGGGGAGATCCTATCCCAATTTTTATTTTGCTAGGCCCATAGATAAAAACCTACTTTTTTACGATTACGGGGTTTATTAGAATATGAAATTCAACCCTGGAAATACAGGATCCCCATTTTTTTTACTACCCGGAGCTTCGATACATTTCGAAATCGAGAGATGTCTACTGGGGGAGGTTCTATTAGACAACAATTAGCCAATCTAGATTTACGAATTATTATAGACTATTCATTGGTAGAATGGAAAGAATTGGAGGAAGAGGAACCCACAGGGAACGAATGGGAAGATCGAAAAGTTGGAAGAAGAAAAGATTTTTTGCTTAGACGCATGGAATTGGCTAAGCATTTTATTCGAACAAATATAGAACCAAAATGGATGGTTTTGCGTCTATTACCAGTTCTTCCTCCTGAGTTGAGACCAATCTATCATATAGATGAGGATAAACTAGTGACCTCGGATATTAATGAAATCTATAGAAGAATTATCTATCGGAATAATACTCTTACAGATCTATTAACAACAAGTATAGCTACGCCAGAAGAATTAATAATATCTCAGGAAAAATTGCTACAAGAAGCCGTGGATGCACTTCTTGATAATGGAATCTGCGGACAACCAATGAGGGATGATCATAATAGAGTTTACAAGTCGCTTTCAGATGTAATTGAAGGCAAAGAAGGAAGAGTTCGCGAGACTCTGCTTGGTAAACGGGTCGATTATTCAGGGCGGTCCGTGATTGTCGTGGGCCCTTCACTTTCATTACATCGATGTGGATTGCCTCGCGAAATAGCAATAGAACTTTTCCAGGCATTTGTAATTCGTGACCTAATTAGAAAACATCTTGCTTCGAACATAGGAGTTGCTAAGAGTCAAATTCGGAAAAAAAAACCGATTGTATGGGAAATACTTCAGGAAATTCTGGATGACCATCCTGTATTGCTGAATAGAGCGCCTACTCTGCATAGATTAGGCATACAGGCATTCCTCCCCGTTTTAGTGGAAGGGCGCGCTATTTGTTTACATCCATTAGTTTGTAAGGGCTTCAATGCAGACTTTGACGGGGATCAAATGGCTGTTCATGTGCCTTTATCTTTGGAGGCTCAAGCAGAGGCGCGTTTACTTATGTTTTCTCATATGAATCTTTTGTCTCCAACTATTGGGGATCCGATTTCGGCACCAACTCAAGATATGCTTAGTGGACTCTATGTCTTAACGAGTGGAAATCGTCGGGGTATTTGTGTAAATAGGTATAATCCATGTAATCGTAGAAACTATCAAAATGAAGATAATAACTATAAGTAGTATACAAAAAAAAAAGAACCCTTTTTGTAATCCCTATGATGCAATTGGAGCTTATCGGCAAAAACGAATCAATTTAGGTAGTCCTTTGTGGCTGCGGTGGCGACTAGATCAACGCGTTATTACTGCAAGAGAAGTTCCCATCGAAATTCACTATGAATCTGTGGGGACCTATTATGAGATTTATGGACACTATCTAATAGTACGAAGTATAAAAAAAGAAATTCTTTATATATATATTCGAACCACTCTTGGTCATATTTCCCTTTATCGAGAAATAGAAGAAGCCATACAGGGGTTTTGGCAGGGCTGTTGTAATTCTATGCTACCAACGGGAATTCGAGTCTCTCCGGGTTAACTAGGACCATAAGTGCAGAATTTATACGTGAATCAAGATCTAGAAAAGGAAGTTTTCCAATCACTGACTCAAGCCCATTGAAAATTCTACTCAGCGCAATATGGAGGTACTGATGGCAAGAACGGCCCACTCAGGTCTTTCACAATAAAGTGATAGACGGAACTGCCATGAAACGACTTATTAGTCGATTTATTGATCACTATGGAAATAGGATATACATCACATATCTTAGATCAAGTAAAGACTCTGGGTTTCCGACAAGCTACCGCCGCATCCATTTCAATTAGGAATTGATGATCTTTTAACAATACTTCTAAAAGATGGCTAGTTCAAGACGCTGAACACAAAGTTT